CTTTGTTGTCGTTTACTTATATTCTTTTGTGTGTATTTCAAGACAAATGTTGTGTTGCAGACGCGAGCGGTGGCGGTGGAGGCGGCGGCGCAGCGGGGGCGGGCGCGGGCGGAGGAGGCGCGCACCCGTGCGCCGTGTGCCAGGCGCTGCTGGAGCAGTTCCTTCAGTCGCGACCACTGCTGCGCGCGCACGCCGCTCAGTACGGTTTGCGCGAGGACCAGGTGCCCGCGGGCGCGCGCGTGTGCAACACATGTCGCTGCAAGGCGGTGCGCTCGCGGTACACGCAGTGCCCGCTGCCAGCTTGTCCCAACGGCAAGGGCCGTGTCAAGCGGCTGCGCTCGCTGCCCGCGCGCTGGGCGGAGCTGCCCGCCGAAGTGCGAGACCCCATCCAGAGAGAGTTCCGTGAGTACTTTTCTTCACTGTGTTCTCTTTCTTCCCGGCCCTCGCACATCCCTATCCCTTCAACAGCTCACGCTTCCAAACTCAGAATAGTTCGTGTAATGTAAATAAATTTGGAAACTGACTGTCAGAAAAATATTGATAATGTAATTGATTGTAAAATACCGTACAATCGTTATTAGTTTCTACGTGTCGTGTGATTTTGTTGTTTTGATTGTGTAGAGATTTACTACTGATTCAGAATGAACTTAAATTTTAGGAGAATAAATATCTTGTGTATAAATACAATAAGTGTTATGTGCAAAATGTGTGATTTAAAAAAAGTAAATTTATTTTTACAGAAATTCCACCAGGAGTGAACAAATGTTGTTCAGTGTGTTTCAATCGAATTTCAAGACAGCTGGCTCCGCATGTCCCAGATGGTTTGTGTGATGAGGTGGATGGCAACAGTGGTGCAAACCAGATTCGATGGACAGATGAAGAAATAGAGGCACTTAAACGTGCACTGTGTGAACATGGAACCAACTGGATCAAAGTGGCTGAGAGAGTTGGCTCATCACGTTCGCACCACCAGTGCAAGAATTACTATTTCAATTACCGCAAAAAGCTGGGTCTTGACTTGCTTGTGCAAGAATATAAGAAAGTAAGTGAAACTTTCTCATTCCTCTGTTCTCTATGAGTGATCTTATCCTGCTTTTTCTTTTCCTTTGGTTCCTTTTCTTTTACTTTTTATTACCTTCATCATTTTCTTCTGTTTTCTTTTTTGTAGTTTTCTTAAACTACATCTAATATGACCATGTACACTTCTAAAACTAGTGGTGCTACAACAGCTTGTAGTTTTTTGCAGTAATAATGTTTACATAATAGTATTAAGCAAAATCTGTCTGTATTAATACACCTTGCCCATCTATTGCAAAACTCGTTTCCAATTGTAGCACATGAGGTGGAAAAACTTGGATGTGAAAAATGTGGAAGAAGCAAGGGAATTCAAATTTTCAATTTTGTTGATACTAAAAATTACACAATACAACTCATATTTTCAGAAAAATGTACACAACCTTATTTTTTACGATCTAATTTTAGGGAACAGATTTTTCAAGTAAAAAGTCTCTATCATTATTGTTGTTTTGCAATGTTAATTCTTTGCAATTTTCATTAATAGAGAGGGAACCAAAAATGGTCCCTGCTCCATTTTTTTAAGCTTTCTTTGGTCTATTCGAGAAAACAAAATGAAAAATAAAATTGAAATATTTTTGAGAAAATATATCTTTAAACTGTCTTAATTTCAAGTAAAAATTATGGAAAAAATACTAGTTTGTTTCTGTCAATGTTGCTGGCTGAGGAAGGGATGGGAAGGTCTGGACAGCACTGAGCATAAATCACTACTTTGAATTACATGAGCTTGTAAATAAATACATTTTCAAACGTGACAGAATTCTCTAAAGTAAGAATTTCTTTAATCATTAAATACATTTTAAGAGATTTTTTTTTTTTTTTTGCATTTCTACTAAATGAAGAAATTTGTTTTAGACCCACCTTGGAGAGGAAAGAAAACCTACTGTCACAGATGAGGAAGAATCTGGTTCCAGTACTTCTTCATGTGATGAAAGACTCCCGCTGGACAACAGTGACACTGATAGTGCCCCTTCACCATCCTCCTCAGCTATCCATGACACATCAGGTATGAAATAAAACATGTAATTGAATCAGCATCACCTTTTCTTTGTAATTGCTATTTTATTTCTTTTCACTTAATGAAAATATAATTGTAACAAATAATAATAATTTTTAAATGACTTGCTTTCAGAAAAACCTATGGCCTCCTCCTCAGAGGGAAGTGTAGTAAAGTTACCTGATCATGAGCCAGCTGCTGTTGTCAATGGTACAGGTGTCTGTGTCGCAATGCCACCATCAGGTTCTGATTCTCGACCCCAAGGACAGCAAGCTGATTATGATAGCTCTGCTACAGTATGTTTCTTTTAATTTAAAATTTCACGAGTCTTCCGTTTTTGACAGTGAATCTACTGCTATTACTTTTTCTTTTTATCCTTTTTCTATTCTAAAATTGAGCTTTGTTTTCTGAAACAGGAAACAGCTGATGAAGGTCAAGGGGGTGCTGATGGTGATACTTCAGTGGCTTCACGCCAGTCTCCTGGCAAGAACTCCCTCTATCCCCCTGCAACCTGTACTATAGCCACTCCAATCAGTCAAGCCCAATCTGTGGAGGTACGTTTATTTTAATTGTTATTGTAGTCATTATGTAGGTAGTTAATAAAGGAACATTTCAATTTTCTTCCTCCTCATTCTTCCCACATGAATCAAAACATGAAGATAGACATTTAACATAGGCAAATGTTTTTTAATTAAAAAATTATTAATGTGTATCGTATGGTTTTGGTAGTTGTTGAACATGAACACCACTCGACTTCATTTCTAATGTGCTCTACTCTTCAATATTAGATTTTTAAATTGTGTCCTGTACTGTTTTTGAAAGTATAATTAGTTTTCTCATAAATTTGAGTCAAATTGTAAACATTTTACAAAAGTTCCTATACAAGATATTTTAAAACTTTCTTCTTCATGTCCTTGTATGAAAAGAGCACGATACTTTGAATTCTATGGCAGATGTGCTACTTTCATTGAAACTTGGAACCAAAGAAATTAATATTATTACTTAATAAACATTTTTTAGAAATTTCATTCAGATTCTTCAAATTTCATTATATTTAAATAAATTGACATGTAAAAATACACATCTCAAATAAAAGTTTGCCTGCATATTGTTTTTTAATCATAATACTATTAAACAAAGCCATGTAATTCTCTGGCTCCTTGCTGTGAATTACCAAATTTACCTACACTTCTCAGAACTCAGGTACTCTGAATCGAGGATTAATGGATGTGAAGGAGAAGCTTGGAAGAGCTTGACTTGAGCAATTTTAAATATTAACCTGAATTTGTAATTATACTATTTTGGAAACACTAAATGCACATATATGTACAGGTTTTGCTTTTTTATTACAATAAATTCAGTTCGTAATTAGAACATTGTTTCTGTTACAAATTATATGGGGAAAGGAGGCAAAATTGTAATACAATTAGTTTAATTTTTGAAATGGAAGTATCTGAAGATGTATTTTGATACAAGAAACATGCTCAATTCATAATGAATTTTTAAATGACATGTAACTGACTTGGATTGTGTTCCATTTTGTTTTGCAGTTAAATGGTCCTGTTGGAACTTCCTTAAGAGAAACAGCCTCTCCGTCCAATGTTCGTTCTGTGAAGGATCTCATGTTGGGTGTCATTGAGATGAGTCTCAAAAAGACTCCAGGAGGTGGCACCTCATCTGTAGTTGAGAACCCTTCTGTGGCTCCGACTATAAAATCCATTTTAAAATCAAATAGTCAATCAGATGTGGGTTATGTCCCTCGAGACTTTCGGCCAGATACAAAGCGGCAGTCATTATCTGTGACTCAGGACACAAGTGGTTTGGCAACTTTGTCAGTTGTCAATTCACATGCTAGTCCTAGCAGTCAGCACCATCACCTTCAGCCACCTCCATTACCACATGTACCACAGATGCAAGCCACTATAACACCGTGTCCTGTTCCTCCACCTGAATTGCCAAAGGAAGGACTTGTGGTTGTACAGGTGAGAATGTTTAATGCAGTTTGGTACAATTCTGTGTACAAAATCCCAAACTCTAATCATATCAATGTTTAGAAGAACATAATGCTTTATTTCTATTGAGGAAAAGGAATATTCTTTTGCTCTCTGAGGTTAAAATCAGGTGTCCAAATGGCTAGGACCATTTATAGTACATTTATTTTCTAATTATATCTTAATCTATATGCACTTCTTATCAAAGTGCTTAGTGATAATTTTTGCCAAAGAATAATATTTAAATTAATTTTACTGGAGCTGATGGCTAGCAAGTGTGTATCCTCAAAATCACCAAACTTCAATACTATAAAAGCAATTTCCAGCAATAAATATAAATATA